GCATCTAGAACACCGGCTTTCTAAGTGTGGTGCCTGGACCAGCAGCATCAGCATTTGTTGGGAGTTTAGAAATTCAGGTGTGAGAAGAAATTCTAGACTATAAGGCAGTGATTCAGCATTTTCTGAATGACATCCCTTGGAGCATCTGAGGAAAACTTTGGACCCTTCCCGCCGGACACCAGAGGCACACCCGTGTCCATGCTCTGCCCCTCACTACCCTGTGAGCCACGGCGATGGTAACGAAGAGCCGTCCTTCTAACCTGTGCTTTCATCCTTGCTCAGTGCTGCAGGGTGTCCACACACGTCCCCAATAGTCCCCCTCCCTGCTGGAGAATTCTCCGGAGGGACCACACTGGACTTCTTGTCCTGGGACCCTGTTCAGACATCCTCCACCATTTGTGAGGAGAAAGCTATTTTCCATTTCTTCAAAGCCTTCAGTGCAGAGTGGTGGCTGCCTGTCCCTGAGGGACGAGGAGCCAGCGACAGGATGTGAGGGCACTGCCATCAGACCGACAAGGCCCTGGGTGTGCCTGTGAGAACGGGAGTGGGCGGGTGAGCACAGGACTGGGCTTTGCTCAGTTGTGGGAGGGCAAGAGCAAGGCTTTGACTGTAGGATATTAATAGCATGAGTCATCACCATCATGGCCTAGTGGTTAAAGGCTCCACGCCAGGGGAGATTTTGCTCTCCGGAGGACCTTGGGCAACGCCTAGCGATGTTTTCGGTTGCCCACCTGGGGGTGGCACCGCTGGCCTCTAGTGGGTAGAGGTGAGGGATGCTGCTTCTGGATCCCATGGTGCCCACACAGCTCGCACCGTGAAGAATTACCTGACTCAGAGCGTCCACAGTGCCAAGGTTCGGAAACCCTGGTCTGGGTTAATTTCCAGTTTGGTATTAGTGAGCACCGTTCCTTTGCTACCGTGCTGAGGTGGCTGTGGAGAGAATACACCAGAAAACACGGAGAGATGGGAATCTAGGTTTCCGTTTGCTTTTGTTTTGTTGCCTTTTACTTAAGGCCTGAGTAGCATCCAGCGAGGATATGCCTGGTGCTAAGTTCTCCGATTGCCTCAGGGAGAGCAGAGTGGTTGGAGCTTGGTGCTCTTGGGATGCAGCCCCTATGGGTACAGTGGACCCTTTCAGCTCTGTGTTGGATATTCCAGAACTTTCTACAAAGGGGACTCTTGAGCAGATGTGGGCTTGCTTGGGAGAGATGGTGAAGCTTGTTTTCTTCCGGTACCTTTTTTCTAACAGTTGGAAGCTGAAGCCACTCACCGAGTTATCACCATTGCAAACAGGGTAAGTGGACCCCGGCTTGCCCTCAACCTATTCTTTTTTTTTTTTTAAAGATTTTATTTATTTATTCATGAGAGACAGAGAGAGAGAGAGAGAGAGGCAGAGGGAGAAGCAGGCTCCCAAGGAGCAGGGAGCCCGATGCGGGACTCGATCCCAGAACTCTGGGATCATGACCTGAGCTGAAGGCAGACGCTTAACCATCTGAGCCACCCAGGCACCCAGCCCTCAACCTATTCTTGACTCTGGGATCAGAAGCCAGATTCTTCAGTCTACACGGTGGAGTCCCATTCTGCCCTGGCACCCAGCACCATGCCTGACTCTCAGGACCCCAGACCCGTCGGCTGGGTGAATGTTGTTACTCCCACAGACCTGGTGCCTAGGTCCTTGCTGCCAGTTCTCTGTTCCACCCCCTTGAGTTTGCTGAGTCTGGCTTCACTGCTCAAGTGGAAATGGCTCCCATGGGAGGCAGGTGGGTTCGGGGGCCACAGAACCTCCCTGCAACTGAACTCTGCTTCCTGTAGAGGAATTCGGTGGATATTCGCTTAAACATCCACCTCTGGACCACTTAGAAGTTTTCCTTGGTATCGCTCAGGGTCTGGGGGTGCAGGTGCAGTGTGGTGATGGGAACCAAGCAAGGGATGTGAGGCCTTTACCAAATACAAGCTCTCAGGTGTATGCAAGTCACTCAACCACTCTGCTCTACTATTTTGTTATCTAAAATTGGAGTGGTAATATCACTTCTCACAGGATGGTTGTGAGGCTCAGAGGGGGCAGAGCAGGAAAGGCAGTTTGTAAACAGCAGAGCCCTAGACCAAGGTTATTTCTCCTTCTAAACGATCAATAAAGAGTTCAATTTGCTCAGAGAATCTGAACCGTCGCATCTAGAACACCGGCTTTCTAAGTGTGGTGCCTGGACCAGCAGCATCAGCATTTGTTGGGAGTTTAGAAATGCAGATTCTCGGGCCCATGCAGCCCTATTGAATCAGAAACGGGCATGATGCCCAGCCATCTGTTTTCAATAGCCCACCCCTGATTCTAGTGGGCACTAATGCTCCAGAACCTCTCCTCTGGAAAGACACGGACTCCCTCCAAGGGTGTAAGCCTGAGGGGTGGTGTTAGGAACACCAGGGAAAACACAGAGGTTGGAGGTCCAGCAGATCTCAGAATCAGAGAGTAAAGTTGTGCCAAGCACATGACCTGTCGGGCCAGTTCCTAAGCTCTCTGTCCTCTCATTTTGATAAGCAGAGTAGGCATCGGAATAACATTTGGGAAAAGTTTCCCGTTAGCAATTTACAATGGACAGGGCCATTGTTTTACTGGCATAATGCGAGTTACAATATCAATTACTCCCTGATGGGAACCCCAGAGTAAGGACAGATCTGAACAACACAAGTCCAGCTTCCTATTTTTTAGTTCAAACATATGCCCAGAGAAGCAAAGACATGGATCTTTGTCGTCCAGCTCAGCAGAGGAGAAGCTCATCAATGCTACAATCCAGGTGTCCATTTGTAAGACCAGTCCTGTCTGACATGGACCCTGAACCCTGAACTTCCTGTATTTTGTTTCTTGTCCAGGGTGCATTCTGTCTACTGATAAAGCAGCCCTCATATAGCAGGCTTTGTCATTTTAGATACGGAGTGTAATCCACGACTGTCTCTAGGTCCTCACACCCGTGAACAGAAAACAGTCCCCTGTTTTAAGTTATAAATCATCTTGATTTCGGCTGACCGCTTGCCCTGACATTCCCACTGACTCTGGGGCTGGGTGCTGCCTGCCTCCTCCCTGCTTCACACAGTCCGTGCTCTGGCCACCAGCCCCGCATTCCCGGTGGAAGACCCTCACCCTGAGAGTGGGGCTGAGAGATGCAGGGGGAGGTGCTGCGGCCAGCACTGGTTTGGCTGCGGCTGCGCTCGTGCTTGGCAGGTTCATGGCATTGATGCGCTCTCCTTCCCGCTGGGTTTCCTTATTTAGACTCACTGCCCGATCTACCTGGTCAACGTGTCCAGCATCTCGGCCGGTGAGGTTATCGCAGCTGCTAAGATGCAAGGTGAGTCCCGGGGCTGGAATGGACATGCACATGTGTGGCGGGATTGCAGCCCCACGGGGCCCGCCAGCCCAGGGGCCCAGTGTACGCCCTGCTGTCTCCTGTCACCCTCGGAAGCACTCTGCTCTAGCCTGGGTCCAGTGCGTTAGAACCACTGTTTTCCTCTGCACATCTGTCTGCCTAACAGCTTTACGGAAGTGTCTGTCACCTCCCCTGGGTCTGGTCAAATTTTCCAAGTTTTCAGGCAACTCATTAATTGCTATCTTTTTTGGCTTCTTGGGTTTTGCTAGCGGTTGCCTTGGTAACCGACATAAAATCCTGGACCAGTTCCAATGGACGTTTCAGGGGATGCTTGGGAAGTCCCTGGAGGAATAACAGCATCTGAGCCCAACTTCCCTCACAGCCCCCCCCACCCCCGACCCCCCGGCACCCCGCGTACGAGCCCCGGGGCACCTGTGTTTCTGCTATTGCTGAGCACCCGGCAGCACCTGGAGGTTTTTATCTGTGCTTGTGGTCTTGGCCGGCTCAGGGTGCCAGCGAGGTCCTGCTACCAGGAGAAACCAAGGCATGGTCACAGACCCGGGGCTATAAATCAGAGCAAGGGCTCCCAGCCTTCTGGCAGGACGGCCTGCGAGATCCCGCCCCCTCCTGCCCCGTCCCGCCACTCCCCTCCTGGGAGCCCCTGGCCTGTCTCACCTGCCCTGTCGACCCTCCTTCCTCCCAGCAGCGCCCCGCGGGCCCCTGAGCTCCAGCCAAGCCGCGCTCCTCCAAGTGCGGCGCTGCCCCTCCTCGGCGCCCCTGCCCTTCTGTTCTTGCCTGGAGCCAGCCTGGCGACATGCAGCGCTCTGGCCTTGAACCCAGCTGTGCTCTCAGACACCCTCGTGAGCTCGGGCAAGTCCCTTCCTCTCTGACTTCAGCTCCTTCAGCGAGGACCATTCAGACCAATGGTCTCTCAGTTCAGTTGGCTTCCTACTCATGCTCCGACCTCTCTCCTTGCAGGGAAGGTTGTGCTGGCCGAGACCACCACGGCGCATGCCACGCTGACCGGCTTACACTACTACCACCAGGACTGGTCCCACGCGGCCGCCTACGTCACGGTGCCTCCGCTGAGACTGGACACCAACACCTCAACCTACCTCATGAGCCTGCTGGCCAAGTAAGGCGCTTCCGCCGAACACTGTGGCCCCAGAGCACAGCACTCACTCGTAATAGGCGCCTTCCCGGGAATTTACGCATCTTCACCGTGATGTCCTCGCGGCCCCCAATCTGACCTAGAGTTACTTTCGTTGTGCCCGTGGGATGACTTGGCCCTGGTGACCCTCTCCGGGGCCCGTCAGATAACTGCCACCTTATGGGGCTTCGCTGACCACTCGATTTGGAGTGAGAGCTTCTGAAGTGTAAGAGGCAAGAGCAGCCTATAGAAAAGCGGGAACAGTGGTGATTCAGAATTTCGAGGGACATTGCTTTTTATGCTGAAGACCACTGCGGGGCTGTGGGATGTGGCCTCTGACGGTCCTAGAATGTATGTGGGCCTTTCTGTCTCTTTGTTCTTCCCCTCTCCCTCCTCTCGTTGTTTTGCAGCAGTGTCTCCCCACATGTGTCTCCCTCCTTTCTTTCCTCTCTTCCCTCTGCCTTCTGCCCTCTCTCCGTCTTTCCCCTCATCCTCCCCTTCCGGATCTCCTTTTCTCCAGCTTCTTTTTTTCTAACACTACTTTTTCCCATGTGAGCCGAATCTAAAGGCAAAAGTTTAACCAACAGGTTGAATTCAGAGGGAAACAAACATGAAAAGCTTTTGTTTGCAGCGTCTTTCTTTCCTTTAGTAACATTCTGGGTAGAATCCATTGCTTTCTCTCCCTTTTGGTTACTAACGTTCAGTCTAGTTTAAACGTCCATCTCCTCCCTTCCCCACGCCCAGTTCGGGGCTGGGGGATTCTTCTCCATGCCCAAGCACCAGCCTGTACTCCTGCTTCTCAGGCAGAAAGGGGCTGGCCTTTGGGGCCCTCGCTGGGCGTGGGCTCTCTTGTGCCTCCCTCACACAACCCCCTGCTCCGGGAGACGGGGTCCAGCTTGACCTCTTCCTCCTGCATCTTCCTAGCTTCCAGAGCTAGCGGTGTCCCTGCAAACAAGGACCCTGGAAGGCAGCTCAAGCCTGGCCACCTTCTACAGTGTCTGGGGCCCAGCGAGAGCTCTCCCAGCTTTGCCACTCTCCACGGTGGGAGGGCAGGCTGTTCCCACCCCACTGGCTCTCCTCACCCAGAGGCTCAGGGCAGGTCCACAAACCCACCTCCCAGACAAAGGCCCACTGCAATCACCTCCGCTCTCTGTGGGTGAACCTGTTGAAATGTGCCCTCCTTGACTGCTAGGAGAGAGAGTAGGGAAGCCCACTCAAACCATGAAAAGAAGGAGGAAGGAAAGACAACAGGACTCTCCATTCTGCAACACCTCAGTCTCCCTGCCTATCCTCCGCTTTTATACACCTGGGGGTGGTGATAGGCCTCTTCTCTTCTAGGGTGATGGTGGGGATAATTGAGGGAAGTGGCCAGCCCCGACTGAAGGTGGCTGAGAGGAGAAATGCCAGATCAGCTCTTACTTTTAAAGATGCTTTTCAGGGGCGCCTGGATGGCTCAGTTGGTTAAGCGACTGCCTTCGGCTCAGGTCATGATCCTGGAGTCCCGGGATCGAGTCCCGCATCGGACTCCCTGCTCGGTGGGGAGTCTGCTTCTCCCTCTGACCTTCCCCCCTCTCATGTGCTCTCTCTGTCTCATTCTCTCTCTCAAATAAATAAATAAAATCTTTAAAAAAAAATAAAATAAAGATGCTTTTCAGGGGCGCCTGGGTGGTTCAGTCAGTTAAGCGTCAGACTCTTGATCTCAAAGTCATGAGTTCAAGCCCTGTAGAGCCTACTTTAAAAAAAAAAAAAAGCTTTTCATTGGGAAAAACCAGCCTCCTTTTCATCATTATCAACACAACAAAAACAAACATGTATCAAGAGCCCACTATAATACTTTGGGCTCAGTTCCAAGGTCAAAAAATCTTTTGAAATACCTGCTTGCCACAGGCAATTTAACTGAAAGAACAGAAAGGTGGTAAGTGCCCCCACCCACCCAAATTCAGCTAGGCTGGGGGAAAAAGAGTATTATTAATTGAATAATTTAAGTTTTTATGTCTAGCCTATTTTTAATCTAAATTATGTAAATAAATTCGCTCAAGTCAAATTGTAATTTCATGTGAACTATTATGAGAATAGTTTCAATCCCTTTTTAAAATCAGTGCATATTATAAAACTGCAATTTTATAGAATTTGGAGCATTGTTTTAACCTTCTCATGATTCACAGGAATTTATGGTTACTTTCTTTTTGTCTTTAGGGCGCACTGTTGGTGATAAATGATATTATACAAAATACCTGATTGAAAACCCAGACACCAATTATCATAATCCTATAAGAGAATCTGTGCTGCTTCATCATGATCTACTTTAGGCTATGATTTCTTATATGTCAGTGTAAAAACCATAATCTATGGATGGGAGGATTTATCTTTTATTTAAAATCTAATTTCTTTTTCCTTTTTTTTTTCTTTTTTTATTGAAGTACAGTTGAAACAGGATGCGACATTAGTTTCAGGAGTACAACAGTGATCCGACAGCTCTGGGGGTTACGCTGGGCTCACAAGTGTAGCTATGATCTGTCACCATGCACCACCATTGCAGTACCACTGACTAGATGCCCCGTGCTGTGCCTTCCTTCCTGGTGACTTACTCATTCCAGAACTGGAAGCCTGTACCGCCCCTACCCTTCAAGCATTGTGCCCATCCCGCCACCCCCCTCCCTTCTGGCAACCATCAGTTCATTCTCTGTGTAAAATCTAATTTTTTAAAAGAGCCAGAAGTTTTTTCATTTGAATATGTAAAATTTCAAACCACTTCACAAAGCCAGTCATGTTTGAAAGTTTGTTTGTTTTTTTAAAGATTTTATTTATTTGACAGAGAGAGACACAGTGAAAGAGGGAACATAAGCAGAGGGAGTGGGAGAGGGAAAAGCAGACTCCCTGCTGAACAAGGAGCCCGATGCGGGGCTTGATCCCAGGACCCTGGGATCACGACCCGAGCCAAAGGCAGACGCCCATCGACTGAGCCACCCAGGCGCCCCTGAAACTTTAGAGTATGGTTGGGTGTGTCATATCTCCTAGATTCAGGGCAGCACTAGGTGACCTCAAAAGCCCCTCTGGAGGGGGCACCTGGGTGGCTCAGTCAGTTAAGCGTCTGCCTTCGGCTCAGGTCATGATCCCAGGGTCCTGGGATGCAGCCCTGCGTCATCCTCCCTCTCCTTCTGCCACTCCTCCCCCAAACCCCTGCTCATGCTCTCGCTCTCTCTCAAATAAATAAATAATAAATCTTAAAAAAAAAAAACAAAACACCTTCTGTAATGTGACCACATTATTCACACCTGCCCCAAGGGCACCTACTTGTGTGGGAATCCTTTTTGAAGGTGGGTGCTCAGTAAGACCTGGTTGAAGAATGGGAGTTGAGGTCCCTAACCCTCCGCTGGTGACTCTAACAGGGACCTCTTCTCATCTGATCCCTGCCTGGGCGTCTGGAAGACCCCTGAGAAGAAGGTGAAACTTTGTTGGGTTCTGCAGGCCCAGGGAATGTGGGCAGCCCTGAGACACCCTAGAACAAACCGTCTGCTGTGTGGAGAGCCCCTCCCGCAGTCTCTCAGAGCAGCAGCTTTGGCTAAGGAAGACACCAGCCCATGCCTCAGGAAGAACTCAGTCATCTCACTGTGGATCTGGCCAACATTTGGCAACACTTGTGACTGATGAGCCCTGCCAGGCCCCCGGTAGAGACAGCCCAACATGCAGCCTGACCCCGAATCATCTGAGGGCCTTACAAATATGGTCACCAAGCCAGTGAATGCCTTCTCCCAGATTCCCCTTCTGACTCGAGCAGCCCTCATGGCCCACAGGCACTCCCAAGGCTTTTTCCCCTCCTACAAATTACATTCTCAGGGCTCCTGCTGTGTGGTCCCAGCAGTTGTCCCCCTCTCCCACATGACCCCCTGCTCCAGCCTGGACCCTGCCTGCCCTCCAACAGTGTTTCTTCCTGAGGTTGCCCCAGCCTGGGCAACGTGGGCATCCTTCCTCCTCCGCCCCTCACCACCTCTCTGAGTCCTCAGCCTACGGAGGTCTCTGAACATGGCCCGGCCCTCTGCCGCCCTCATTTGGCAGAGTCTGCCGCCTCGTGCACGGTCTCACCGTGCTGAGTCTGCCCTGAGTTTCTAGTGAGCCCAGAACCCCCGGAGAGCCCCACCGCGCCATAGCCACCCGCAGCCTTGCATGGAGGCCAGCCTCAGTAACCGTCTGATGGTCATGGAGGGCAGGGGTGATGAACTGGTTGACTTGCCATCATGGCTGGTTTATGAAGGCAGACTTCTCTTCCGTCTTATACCTCCTTGTCCCTTCTGTCATTAGGGCCCCCACATCCAAGAAAGGCTACAGCTGCAAGTTATTTAGCAAAGCTTAACACTGAACCTCTAAGTGTTTTGCCCAGCACATGCTTGTCGCCAGCAGGAACTGGTAGGGGTTGAGGAAGGAGATGAGAGGAAGTTGGCATCTGGGCCTGTGGCAGTGAAACCACCTCACACGAGCAAAATGCTAAGTTCAGTCTTTCTCTGCCCGCGGTCTTCACTCTTAAAAGTTGACGTCCCAAAGGCTCTTATCAGTGTCTCCTGTGACATTGACAGTCGGTGTCACACTCAGCCCGTATTCCCATTCTGCAGATGAGTCAACTGAGTAACTTGTTAGAGTAACTTGTTAAGTAACTTGTTAGAGGGGCGCCTGGGTGGCTTAGTCGTCAAGCGTCTGCCTTCGGCTCAGGTCATGATCCCGGGGTCCTGGGATCGAGCCCCACATCGGGCTCCCTGCTCAGCGGGAGGCCTGCTTCTCCCTCTCCCTCTTCCCCCTGCTTGTGTTCCCTCTCTCGCTGTCTCTCTCTCTCTGTCAAATAAATAAAATCTTAAAAAAAAAAAGTGTAACTTGTTAGAGATCATACTTCAGAGGTCAGCTTTGCCTGGGTCCCAAGGGAAGGCTTTTCCCCTGCATCTGTCCCCACCCTCTGGGACCCTGGCCTCCCTCCCTTACCGGTCACATCCTTCTCTCTATCCAGTGATACTCTGAACATTGTGGCATCAGATCACCGGCCTTTCACTACGAAGCAGAAAGCTATGGGCAAGGAGGACTTCACCAAGATCCCGCATGGAGTGAGTGGTGTGCAGGACCGCATGAGCGTCATCTGGGAGAGAGGAGTGGTATGTTCCAGGCACCCCTCCCTGCTCGAGTCCTAACAAGAGTTTTCAATCTTTGGAGGGCTGCGTCAATGGCTCCTTGTTTCGCTCAAAAACAAAACCAAAAAGGTCTTCCCCGCCCCAACACCCCCACCCCCACGCCCCCGCAAACAAAAAGGTAGTATGGTCTATTATAGAAATTTGGAAAATACAGAAAAGTATTAGGGGAAAAAATGCCCATAATTCCATTCTGAGAAATTAAATGATTAATATTTTGATATATTTCTTTCTAGTTCTATGTATGTGCTACATGTTATTTTAATAACTGGGTTCATCTTTCTTTTTCATATAACAATCTATCTTGAGTGTTTGCCTATATCAGTAAAAATTCTTTTAAAACATCTTTTTGATTAGCTAAATAACATTTCCTCCAATGGAAGTACCACATTTGTTCATCCTTCCCTGATGTTTGGAACTTTGAGCTGTTTCAAAATTTTGCACTTACAAATAATGCTGCAGAGAATTTCTTTGTTCATGAGTATATGTATTGTCAGCATTTCTAATTATTTCCTTAGGATGGATTTCTAGAAGCAGATTTCTGGGCCAAAGGATATGGACATTTTTAAGGCTCTTTATATATTTTGTCTAATTGCTTTTCAAAAAAGATAGGGACTAGGACTTCATTTGCATACCACCTGTTCTCCCCATGAAGAATAAGTATTTTTGGTCAAAGTATGAGCCTAAGCAGATCTGAAGTCCTCAAAACTAAGCCACCAGCTCAGGGGGGCACAGGAGTGGCTGAGGAATCCCCCTTGAAGAGAGTCCATGGTTCTCTCACTGGTGGGTGAGGCAGGAAGATGTTTTTGAAGAGAACAGAATATATGTCCCTTTGTGGATGAAAGGAGGCTACCAACCCATCCGTAGTGAGCATGTGAGTAGAGCTGGTTGTACAAACAGGAGGTAGATTTCCACCGGGTGGACAGCCTTTTGCAAAGGGCCCACTCACCATTGTTGCTGGATGGAGGAGTAAGGAGTGAGCAAGGGCTGAGGACCAAGCCACCCAGGTTGGCTTGTTAGACATGGTGCCCACGTCATTGTCCTTCTAGGCACCATTGACCCGACCAACTAAAAGGCCACAGGCCCGAGGCAAGGGTGACCAGGGGTTTGAGGCACATGCAGGGTTTGGTTGACTTGACACTCCTGCAATGTTTCAGGTTGGAGGAAAGATGGACGAGAACCGTTTTGTGGCCGTTACCAGCTCCAATGCAGCAAAGATTCTCAACCTGTATCCCCGCAAGGGCCGCATCATCCCTGGAGCCGATGCCGACGTGGTAGTGTGGGATCCAGAAGCCACCAAGTAAAGCCTGCTGCTAGCTTCCAGGATGAGAGGGACATGGGGTTTTAAGGAACTTATATTACAAAACTCCACAAGCGTATTGTCTTTGCCCTGCGTTTAGCATAGCGAAGTCTGACCCTGAGGACCTGCCATGGTCTGGGCACTAGGAATACAGCAATGAACAAGACAGTCTTTTTTTTTTGAGAGAGAGAGAGAGAGAGCAAGTGGGGAAGGGCAGAGGGAGAAGGAGAGAGAGAATCTTAAGCAGGCTCCACATGCAGTGCAGAGCCCGACGCAGGGCTCGATCTCACAACCCTGAGAGCATGCCTGAGCTGAAATCAAGAGTCAGATCCTTAACCAACCCCGAACCTGCCACAGTGCATCTCCGTGTGCACAGCTCTTTACAGTATTTCAAAGCGGCTTCACATCAGTGAGCTCATTTGATTTCCATGCAGCCCCAAGAAAACACTCATGCTGGAGTTTTCATTTCCGTTTTCCTTTTGAAGAAGCTAAGACCAGAGAGTAGAGGGCTCCCCACATCACAGAGCTGAGAAGCGGTTGAACCAGACGGGTACCCTGACACTCCAGGCTCTCCCACCCGCCCCCTGCTTCCCTCCTGGAGGGTGTTGGGTACTCCTGAGCGCACAGTGCTCAGCAGCCACAACATTAATGACCACAAGCTGAGTGAATATAGGGAGTGTCTCAGTAGTCACCATGCCACAGGATACAGAGCATGGTTTTTACTCAGAGATTCGGGCAGGGGAGATGGAAACCGTTTTTTCATATTAAATTTCATTCAATCACTCAACAGATTTTTAAGTGCCACTCTTTCCAGGCACTTTTCCAGGTACACAAGCTAGAAGTGACAAGATAGGCAAACATTGAATGGAATTTTGAAAATACAAAGTTGAATTGGAAAGAAAGCCAGCACTATGTACCACCACCCACCCTGATGCCAGGGTACCCACGCTGTCTTCTCCATAAGAGCATTCGAGAAGCTGTGTTCTGCATCCCGATGCCTGGGGCTGGCCCCTGCTGCTGTCAAGGTGTGGCTGTCATTGATCGCTATTGGCAGAAAAACCCCTGGAGTTTAGGGGCACCTGGCTGGCGCAGTTGGTTAAACGTCGGACTCTTGGTTTCGGCTCAGGTCATGATCTCAGGGTCGTGAGTTTGAGCCCCGCGTGGGGCTCCATGCTCAGCACGGAGTCTGCTTGTGATTCTCTCTCCCTCTCCCTCTGCCCCTCTGCTCGTCCTCTCTTTCTCTCTCAAAAATAAATAAATAAATCTAAACACACGCACACGCGCGCGCGCGCACGCACACACACACACACACACAAACAATGCTAGAGTTTAGCCCAGTTGATTAATTTCCTGGGGCTGCCCCAACCCTACCTCAGACTGGGGGAGCTTACACACCAGAAATTTATTTTCTCAGTTCTGGAGCCTAGAAGTCCAAGATCAAGGTGTCTGCAGGGTTCAGGAGGGTTGGTTTCATCTGAGGCCTTTCCCCTTGGGTTGTAAATGGCTGTCTTTCCCCTCTGTCTTCATATGGTCTTTCCTTTATGAGTGTCCATGTCTGGTGTCTGAATTTCCTCTTCTTATAAAGACATCAGTCAGATTGGATTAGGGTCCACCCATGTGACCTCATTTTACTTTAATTAGCTCTTTAAAAGCCCTATCTGTAAATGTAGGCACATTCAGAGACTGGAGGTGAGGACTTAAGTATATAATTTTGGGGGGTAATACAATTCAACCTGCAACAACCAGCTTTGGGGGATCATTCCTTCCCACTGAGCATCTCCCCTTCCCACTGAGCATCCCCCTTCCTACTGAGCATCCCCCCTTCCTACTGAACATCTCCCCTTCCTACTGAGCATCATCCTTTCCAACTGAGCATCACCCCTTCCCACTGAGCATCTCCCCTTCCCACTGAGCATCTCCCCTTCCCACTGAGCATCTCCCCTTCCCACTGAGCATCCCCCCATTCCACTAAGCTGAGACATCTTTACCTCTTCTCAGAGCTTTCTCTCCCACCACTGCTTCTCCCACAGGACCATTTCATCCAGCACCCAGGTGCAGGGAGGAGACTTCAACCTGTACGAGAACATGCGCTGCCATGGCGTCCCGCTGGTCACCATCAGCCGTGGGCGAGTCGTGTACGAGAATGGTGTCTTCATGTGTGCTGAGGGCACTGGCAAGTTCTATCCCCTGAGGTCCTTCCCGGACACTGTCTACAAGAAGCTAGTCCAGAGAGAAAAGGTGAGATGGGGGAAGGAGAAGGGTGTGGGAGGGGGCGGAAGCCCCCGAGAAGGGTATGGGAAGGGGTGGAAACCCCCTGTTGGGGAATTCTATAATGACTGTATTAAATCTCAAAGATGTTCTCACTCTCTTCTCCCACTGAATCCTATTGCCTGGAATGGTCACTTTGGGAACAATTGAAAGAGCAGAAAGGGGTACCTATGACAAAGTAAAACGTAGTGGGAACAGTCGCTAATTCCCCTGGAGCTAAGGGAATACTAAAGGCTGCTCACAGATGTTCCCCGCATCTAGTCTCTGGGAGGATTCTTGCCCACTCTCCAGTGGGATTCCTGGCTTGGCCTGGAATATGGCCAGGCCATATTTGCCCTGGAGTTGCTCTTTCCCTGAAACCTCCCCTTCCCTTGTGACTGTAGTAAGGTGGGTGGGATTTGCCAGGTTTGCCCCCCCCCTCCCCAGCACTGCTAATGGTCAGGCCAGGTCTGGAACAGTTCATATCTTAGGGGGCCCACCCAGTCCTTGGATTCCATAGCACCCTGTTCACTAAAGTTTTGGGTTTCTCCTCATCCCCAGGGGTTCTGTCCTCCGAGTAGACACAGTTACCCAAAGGAAGACTGGCTGTACCTTCATTGCTCGGGGATTGATTGTCCAGCCTTATCTTTGAGAGCTGGCCTGGAGAATCTGGCCTGAGTTCTTGCTGACAACGCCACGTGCTGGGGATTGCAGGCCTGGCCTCTGGGCGGAGGTCGCAAATCATCAGGAGAGAACAGCTCTGACGCCCTGAGAGCTGAAAGCCTCATGCTGTTTCCTCTCCCCTTCGGGTGGCCTAAGGCGGCTTCAGAAGGCTCCTGTCTAGAGAGGGCGAGCGTTCTGCTAGCACGACCGAGGGCCCAGCAGCTCTCCTGCCTAGGCTCTGGGATGCCGTGGTTGGAATCATGGCACACTTAAGAGATGTTGAACTTTTTTTTTTTAATTTCCTCATCCGGCTTCCCCGGTGTTCTGTTCTTCTGTTCCTTTTGCCCAGTACATCCCAGTCCTCTGTACACAGCAGGTGCTCACTGTGTGTTCTGAAGGTAGTTCAGTGCAGATTTCTGGTAAACTGCCCAGCTCAGCCTTGTCTGTCAGCTGCTTGTCTGTGCAGGGGTGAGGCCCAGTAAAATGGTCTGTGTGTTTTTCAGCCGGAGGCCCTAAGTAGCAGCTAGAAGGGGCGCCTCTTCTGGACCCTTCCAGGTGACCTCCCTGCCCCCAACCCCCCCATATTGTGGTCACTGTCCCAGGCCAGCATCAGCTTCCTACTCCCAGGCCCCGTGCTCTCCACTCCTCATCAGCTCTGGCTTCCAACAGGGACCAGAGATACAAAGGACCCTGACTGAAAATAGACTCAGCTGCCATATGACTGAGCTCTAGAAGTCTGCTCAATAGTATCTCCGGAATAGGGCTTTTAAGAGCTGCCTAGGGCTTGGCACCCTGGCCGTAGAATGATCACGTGACCTCTCATCTTCAGCCAGACTTTCTTCGTCTCTTGGTTCTCTAGTGCTTTATGCAAAAGCCAAGCTTCTTTACTCGGTGCCTCAGGCCTCCACTTCTTGTTCCCCTTCTCGTTCCTTCCTGGAACCACCCAAAGGCTGTCAGGAGCAGCTGTTTCAGCCTGTACCCTCCCAGCTGTTCTCTGAACACCCGCTACTCTGGCTGGCCTGTGAGACCCCAGCCCCGGAAGGAAGGTTCCACCAGGTGGGATGGGAGGCAAGGAGGCCTTCCTGCACTTTTCGGGGCCCTCACCAAGACTTCGTTGCACGTGAGTGTGGTCCTCGGTACAAGTGTGTTCACGAAAACTACAGCTTTCTTTCACAAACTATGGTCCAGCCCTCCTGGGCTGGGAGGGGGGTGTGGGACAGGGCGGGGGACAGGCCAGAGCAGGATAGCGCCAGTGTCCGTTCCCCATCTTTGTTTATCAGATAGAAGTTTTTTTTAAGTATTAGTTATTTAAGTCATCTCTACACCCCACGCGGGGCTCAAACTCACATCCCCGAGATCAGGAGTCACATGCTCCTCTGACTGAGCCAGCCAGGCGTCCCTGATTTCCAGACAGAATTTTAAGTGATCGGGCAAACAGGGAGTTCCGGGTTCCCAAAGGCACAGGAGACAAACGTGAGCATGTCTGTGACCGCTGAGTTCCTCTTGATTCGCCGGCTTGGGGGGGCCTTCAGGGTTCCGCCATTGCCTGGTTCCTTCCCAGTCTCGATGAAGTAAGGGCATGTAAGACTGATATTTGAGGAGCAAGCATCATAGAGCGTCAGAGTAAACAGGGCATATGAACACCAGAAGATCAATCCTGCTGGGTTTTTCCATGTGTGAGGGCCCAGAGCTCTCAGGATGACGATTAACCCTTCTCTGCCGAAGGCCAACAAAGGAAGAAATCCAAAGCCAGATCTGCTGTGGGGGAGCAGACTCGGGTTACCTGAAACAAAACAGAACAAAACAAAAAAAAACCATGACTTCAGTTATCACAGTGTTCAATCCAAAAGCAAACTCAGGGTCTGTCGGGAGGTGAATAGTCCCATCTCCAGTCTGCTCCTGGGATGTGAACAGTGGCGGAGGCCTCAGCCAGCCTCTGGAAGGCATACCAACAAGAGCAGGAAGAGGGAGGCATTCATACACCGGAATGTCTGACAAACGGTGGCTGTCATTTTAAAAAGGAAACTGGAAAATAACATGTGTCGGTTAGGATGTGGAGAAACTGGAACCCTTATTCATTGCTGGTGGGAATGCGAAATGGTGCAGCCACTTTGGAAGACAGTTTGGCAGTTCCCCAAAAGTTAGATAGTAGAGTTACCAAATGAGCTCTACTCTTGGGTCTAGCCTCAAGGGAAATTAAAATATATATCTACACAAAAGCTTTACGTAGTGTTCATAGCAGCATTATTTGTAGAGGCCAAGAAGTGGATACAACTCAAATGTCCATCAGCTGTTGAATGGATAAACAGAATGAGGTATATCCATAGGGTAGAATATTTTTGAGCCAGAAAAGGAAATGGAGTGGTAACAGATATACACACCACATACATGAGCCTTAAAAACCTGATGCTAAGTGAAGGAATCTAGTCACAAAAGAGCACATGTTTTATGATCCCATTTATATGGGATCCAGAAGAAGGAAATCCGTAGACAGAAAATCTATCAGTGGTTACTCAGGGCTGGGGGTTGGGGAATGGGTATGGGATTGCTTTTGGGGTGATGAAAATGTTTTGGGAATGAGAGGGTTGCGGGAGTGGCCCAATTTTGTGAATATACACCACTGAAACACCACTGAATTGTATACTTTATTTTTTTTTTTTTTTTTTTTGAGGAAGAGAGAGAGAGTGCTAGTGGCAGGGGGGTGCCAGAGGGAGAGGGCGAGAATCTTAAGCAGACTCGGTGCTGAGCACAGAGCCCGACATGGGGCTTGATCTCACGACTCCGAGATCATGACCTGAGCGGAAATCAAGAGTCAGACACTTAACTGACTGAGCCACCCAGGGACCCCTGAATTATATACTTTAAAATGGCAAGTTTCATGGTACGTGAATTATATTGCAATTTAAAAAAAAAAAAAAAAGAATATCTGATGACAGTTCTGTGGTCTTTCCAAAAAAAGGTATTTTAGTCAGGAAATAAGGTCAACAGAGGGCAGAGAAAGTATTGTAAGCCCTTCTAAATGCCAGCCTCATAAATACGTGAGATGGATACCAATTCACAACATCTGGCTCCTCAGACCAGCCGAGGTGCAAGAGCACCAGCTGCCAGGATTGATGTAAATTCAACCCAGAGTCTCTTTATCTGAAGCATTTATTACAATGACAATGTAAGTTTCCCAAGCAAAGGCGTGTTCTATTGCCTGTTGTCACAGCCTTTCTGTAAAAGAATGCACGTATGCAGGGGCGCCTGGGTGGCTCAGTCGTTAAGCGTCTGCCTTCGGCTCAGGTCATGATCCCAGAGTCCTGGGATCGAGCCCCGCATCGGGCTCTTCTCCCTCTCCCACTCCCCCTGCTTGTGTTCCCTCTCTCGCTGTGTCTCTCTCTGTCAAATAAATAAATAAAATCTTAAAAAAAAGAAAAAGAATGCACGTATGCAGAAAAAGGAAACTAACAAAAAAGTCTCATTTTCCAAAAATGATGAATGATCGGCCCCTAAAGAAAAGCATCTTGGTGGAGGGTTGCGTGTGCAGCCAGTAGCGAGGGGGCTGCCAGAAGCCGGGGTGTGGCCTGCCAGGGTCACTCCCTCAGGGTTCAGCCAGCCCATGCTTCTACAAACCACCCCCTCCCCGCCGGGACCCCGGCCTCCAAAGCCAGGATGCCAAAGTGCAGCCCCGAAAAGGCCGAAACAGTTCAGACCAGGCTTGACATTCTGAGGGTTGAGCTGAACTATGGCTCTGTTGTGGGAGAATATAAAGGAATATGTATGTAGGCGGAAGCTCCTTCAAGAAATTCCCCTATGTATTGTTTCAACAAGATTTTCAGTAAGCAGCAAGCAGCAAGGAGGTTGAGGTTCTGTCCCTGACGAGTGCCTGGGGTGTAGATCATCTACACTGCTGCTTCAGACCCTGTGTGCACACTCCAACTCGCTCTGTCCTCCTCACGGTAGCACCTTCTAACGTGAACAAGCACATGTACGTGACCTCTGCCATAATTAGGGCTGCTGGTCCTTTATGTCACGTGCCACGTGCCAGAGCTGTTCTGGGGAGAGCTTTATGTATATTAATCCATTTGATCTCGTAACATGTATGTAATACTAATAGGTACTATCTTCATCCTAATTTGACAAATAAGGAAACAGACATAGAGACATTAGGTAACTTGCATAAGGTCGCAGAGCTGGGATTGGAACCCATACTGGATGCAGAACATAGGCTCTTAACTTTACTGCCTTTGTGAATACAAAACTAATTAGTATTGCCACCGGAGGGGGGGATTCTCATCTCCAAATCAGCTGTATTTTGCTTCTGTCCCCACAGAGTTGTCAGGTCACAGTAAAAGTCATGGCCTCTTGGGAGCCTGGCAAGAGAGGGGATAGCATTGCTCCAGGTGAGGGGAATACTCCAGAAATCTGCCCGCTACCTTGGAAAGGATTCTACCAACATTGACGGGGAGCCCACAGGGGCCCCCATATGCAAGTGTGCATGCATGCGCTCACACACACTGTTCAGGAGGTAAGAGAATCCTCCACTCCCTGAGTTCCAGATGTAAGGAACTTTTGTCTCATCCAGTCATTTGGGTCCCGAGCAGAGTGGCAGCATCAACCTCCTGCCAGCCATCCAGGAGACTCTGGTGGCAATGGCGTCTGGGCTCTGACAGTGTCCTCTCTTCCCGTTTTCTCCTTCTCTGTCCTTCACTAGACCTTAAAGGTTAGGGGAGTGGACCGTACGCCCTACCTGGGGGATGTAGCCGTCGTTGTGCATCCTGGGAAAAAGGAGATGGGCACGCCACTCGCAGACACCCCCACCCGGCCCGTTACCCGACACGGGGGCATGAGGGACCTTCATGAGTCCAGCTTCAGCCTCTCTGGTAAGAGCAGGGGCCGCTCCACCCGGGACCTGCGTCTCTCCCGCAGTGGGGTAGCAGGAGCTGAGGGACTTCTGCAGCGTTTCCTCTCCATCTCCTCCCCCGCCCCGGCCCCCGCATGTCTAGAGACGAGTGCCGCATCCCACAGCAGAGACACAGCAACATTGGGAGGGGCAGGAGGGCTCTCCAGGTCCCTGGGCACCAGCCACTCCAAGAGGCCATGGCTTGTCTGGTGCTCTCCCCATGGCTTCTAAGTCCAGATACTTTTTTTTTCCCCCCTTAAAACATCTTGAGGGCTCTGCACACAGTGGGTGCCCTGGGGATGATCAGAGCTCAGAAGGGTTAACCCTCTGTGCTACGTGGGACTGCACCCCCACTGCAGTCTCTCCGTCCCCATCCCTGCTCCTCACCAGCCTCTGAAAGAGGTGTTTCCCTTACTCCCTTTCCTCCCTCACCCCAGCCCCATGTTTACCCCTCCAGCACCTTCTTTTTTGCCAACAATTGTAATATATGTGATACCACAGATGATACATGGGGTGCGTCTGTGCTCTGGGACTTTATTTATCCCAGGTGCTCTGCAGTAGTGAAAGGTGGGGGTCATTGTCACAAAAACGGTAGCCCTCCCGGAGAACGAGCAAGGCTATAAGGTGGCCTGGTCCTGCAGGCAGCTCTGACGGACACTGGGACCCCTGCTTGAAGAGGGCAGGGCCAAGTCTCCCTGAACTCGCTGAGCGGCCTTCAGAACCAGACCAGGTGGAGGCCTGGCATCGCTCTGCAAGGGCCACACTGGGGCCTGAACAGTGAAAGGAGCAAGATACACATCCTTCCACGCAGGGTGTGGCATTTACTGGTACATACAAGCTGTCCTAATAAGAGAGGCCGAGGGGTACCAAGGGAGCAGGGCTGCCGCTCCGAGCTTCCTCTGTGCCCCGCTATGTGCTGAGGGCAGCTCAGGTCAAAGGACACATGCTTCCTATTTTGAGGACCTTGCAGTTTCGAGGGGGGTCCTCTCCATCCTCAGAGCCAGTCTCATTGCCAAGGTAACTATCCCCCCCACCCCGAGGGCCACTGCCATTCACACCAGCGACAAGACACGGGTGCTGGGAGTCACAGAGGAATCCGTGGTGTGGAGTGCACTTCCACCCTTCCGGCGTCAGCCACCCCCCTGAGAAGCCTGCATACGTCAAGGTGCTCAGAGTGTGGGCCCCCCGGCCAGTGGCTTCTGCCACATCTCAAGGCACAACATCTCTCAGACTCAGCAAATATCAGGCATCCCTCCCACCTTCCTTCCACCCAGCCTTGTCTGTTCTGGATGGGCTGGACTGAAGAATGTCCCACTCACTCCCTGGGACACCAAGCCTCTTTTTTCTAAGTCTTGGGTTTTCAAGACGCTGGGCCCTTGGGGTGTGGTTCTTTGGTTTTCCAGAACAATGGAGTGCCCAGTCTTCTCCCTGTCTTACTTACCGGGGCGTGTGTACAAAGGTCCACATGCTGACAGGCTGATTCATGGTCTGTGTGCACCACAAAAGCCCACATGCCCAGGCTTGGGAGCAGCGAAGGTGGCAGAGGCCCTGAATCAGAAAGACCTGGGTTCAAATCCAGACGCTACCACTTATACACACTGTAACCCTGGGCGAGTCATTTAACTTCCCTGAGCCTCGGTGTGCTCATCCAGAAAATGGGCTGGAGCTGTGAGGCTTCGGTTAGAGCGTACCCACAGAGGGCTTAGCAGCTTCCCCAGCTAGATGGTGCCTGTGCATTTATAGCCCGGCCGAGAGCCGCAGAGCTCACCCTCCGCTTCCTTCCCTGCAGGTTCTCAAATCGACGACCACGTTCCAAAGCGAGCTTCGGCTCGGATCCTCGCTCCCCCCGGAGGCAGGTCAAGCGGCATTTGGTAAAGGCACCGACCAGCCCCCCAAGTGAGGACGCACCGCTGCCACCAGCCCGCACACCCTCCGGCCACGGCTGCAGGGGGCGGGAGAGGCTGGGCCGGGCGGCACACCACCTGAGGGGGCCACGGGACCCGGGGAGCCCTCCCCATGTCTGACCCGTGATTCACTGTGCTTCGAGCCAACCCTAACAGGCACTTTGAGATTTGTTCCTCCCGCTGCAGTCCTTTCCTGCCTTGGCCCCGGCAGGCTTTTTCGGGGGCCCAGGAAAGCCACACTATGCACCGAGCCCACTGCATAGAGCCCGGCCCAGCCCCTCCTCTCACCCCCTGCTCCACGTGCTGGCCTTTAGTGCCCTGCCCCCTGGCCGACCCACCAGCTGTCCGGAGCACTTTAGCAGGTGGGTGTTGGAGGAAAAGGACCCCCTCCCCCGCAGGAGGCCCTGTGGTCACTTTTCCCAAGTCAGACAGCTGTTGGCTTCCCAGCCATGCCCAGGGTGTCCCGTTCCTCGTGACTCAACGCTGGGCCCCGTGTGCGTGTGCTGGGGACACTCTGCACCCTTTGCCAGCTTCTTCCTCCTCCCACCCCAGCCTCGGGGAGTCACAGGCCCCGAGGGGCTCGCTGGGCGGGGCACAGGGCTGGTGCCAGGCGCGTGTACATGATTTTGTTTTGCACGTTTGGTTTGCGCAGTGGTTTGGTTTGACTTGTTTGTGCATCCTGTGAAGAATAACGGTGCTTCGTGTCACTAGCATAGCATAGAAACAGCAGTAGTTGTGGACCTTAAGAGACGCTGCACTCGACGCCGACCAGACAGCCCAGGGCACAGACCAGGAGCGGGCTGAGGCGCCGGGCTCACGGGCCCTTCTTCTCCCCACCCGGATTCTTCCAGGCTGCCGCGGCCCTGTCCCAGGCCCTCCTCCCGTCCCCCCCCCACAATCCTGGGGGTAGTTGTCTACATTCTGGCGGGGGGGCCCAGTAAGCCAGCCCTGGGGACCTCCGGGGAGCAGAGTCACCCCTCCCAGCACTAACACCCCCAAACACCCGGCTTCCTGTAAACTCCCCCCGCTGGACAGAGGCCCAGCCGCTCCTCCCGTGTGATTGGCAAGAGGCCTCACGCCTGCTAAGAGAGGGGGAGCAGGACTCGGGAGTGAGCGGGCTAGAGGCTGGGCCAGCGGCACCAGGCCAGAGAACCCACATTGCTGCGCAGGTGCTGTGGCCTCCTGGGGTCAACACCTCCCCTGTCCCTGCTTGTGGCCTTCGTCCCCTCCCACGTCCAGTTGGGCTCTCCCTGCCTCGGATGCTCCGGGAGGTTTCCAAGGAAACGCTAGAGGCTGGGTGATCATCCACCCTGAGTGAGCTGGGAGGCATCCCAGCCGCCTGCCCTTCTTAAGCCTTGCCGTCCGGGCAGGGAAGTGATTTCATGTTGCACATTCGCTTTGCGCACCCCGCGCTTGCCCTGGGGCTCTTGGGCTGGTGGTCCTACCCTGCACATTTCTTCAGTGCTTTACATGCTTTCAAAGCACTTCCATATACGAGCTCTCGATTGCTCCGCCCGACTGCAGAGCATGTTATTCTCCCCATTTCACAGACGAGGCCCAGAAAGTTTAGGCCTTCTGACCCCACGAGTGTCCATGACGGCCCTTAAGAGCTTGGCTTGTCTACCCCAGCGTGGAAAGGAAGAGGGGGGGATGTCTCTTGTACATCCCACCCAAGAATTGAACCATCCAGAAGACTTACTCCCTTGGTAGGCATTCTGCTTTGTTTTGCACAGGTAGATAGATCTTTCTTACAAACCAGCTTACGCCTATTCACTGTCTGAGCCAGAACGAGTTAAATGTTGGGGGGCTTGCCCTATGGCTTGAGCTGCCTCCACATCCTCCCTTCTCCCTTCTTGCTCATCTTCCTCATTTAGGAGCTGAAAGGACAGAGACGGTACCCCAGGGAGCAGAGGCAACAAAGGCACTCCCAGGGGGTGGCAGCCACGGGGAGAGTAGGTAGAAATGTGGGCCTGGGAAACCATGACACGGACCCCTCAGTACAACGCACATCATCCTCTTTACCCCAGCCCGTTGCTGGGTCATGGGCCTTGGGCAGATGCCAAAGAGCCAAGCAGTGGTGGCAGCCAGAGGGCACAGCATCCCTGCTTGGGCTAAGAAAGCTTTACCTTCTCTGAGTGCCTCCGCCCGAGAGATGCATGGTCCATGGGATGGCTCTGGAAGACCACATCTTGGAGTGGTCCACAGCAGGCCTTCCACTTCATCTTACTTGCCCCACCCACACATAGCCCCCAATCCTTTCACAGACCCCGCCCTTGCCCAGGAGCTTCTAGATGAAAACCAGAAGGAGGTTCAAGGGACCAAAGGAACGGTCAGCCCCACCCCCCACCCCCCACTCCTTGCCCCTGCGCAGAGCTCCGGCCAGCTCCATCAGCAGCCCCACCGCTCCTGGTTGGAATGACGAGGGTTTCTGGTTGCCCTGAACGCAGCTCTCAAACTGGTCCTGTACTTGCTGAATAAATACTGTTGTTCTTGCCTTAGCTGCTCTCTAGGTTTGTGGGATTAAGTTACCAGAAAATCGTGCTACCGTGTGTGCGTGTGTGCGTGTGTGTAGTGCTAGGAGTCCACAGTAGGTCTCTGTCAAGCCAATGCCGTGATGAGGGCTTTTCCGATACTGACCCAGAAACCACAGAAGCACGCGAAAACCCAAACCCCCTCCAGCTGCCCCGGGCGGCAGGCACAGCCTGGGGGCGGGATGAAGCCTCCAGCACCCAAGTGACTTCTCACTCCTCTGTAAACGTCATGGTGCTAAGATTGTGTCAACCCCAAGACGACACGTGGTCCTGTGCTTTGGCCACCTGTTTGAGGCAAAGACAAAACAGCCCGACACATTGTGTTCTGGTGCAGGTTTGTATTAAACTGTAGCGACTTCTCACTTGGTCTCCGTTGTGTTTCTTCCAAAGAAGAGAGAGTTTGGCAGGGGACCTGCTCCCCAGTGGCAGGGGCAGAACTCAGTTGCTAAGAAAACTCAGCTTTGGTTCTTCACTCATATTGGGTGGCGGGTAGCCTCTCACCGGGAGGCCTGAGCGGAGCTCAGTCCTCCTGGTGGGAACAAAACCAAGGCTTTTGGTGCCAGATTCCCAGAACAAGGTTGCTGAGTTAACTGAAACAGGGATAATCGGGGGAAGGCATTACATACAAAAGGCGGGGAAACTAGGCTTTCCACACTTACCCGTTGTTGCCTATTCTTGGCTACCATTTTGGAAACCCATAGCCCCCCTCTTCACACAGTGGAACTCTTGGCCGATGGAGCTGTGGCCTCATAAGATCACAGGACAGAGTGCTGTCCCAAGGCCAGTGCGTCTTTGAAGGACCTCCAGGTCCTCCAGAACCAGGAGAACCTCCAGGTCCTCCAGAACCAGGAGAACCTCCAGGTCCTCCAGAACCAGGAGAACCTCCAGGTTCTCCAGAACCGCCCCCCCTTTGGATTGGTCTACTGTACCCTCCAACCCCTTCCACCTGCACCAAGACTCCTCTGCCTTCTCTCTAGATCTCAGCCAGCTGTTGGAAGGGATTCCTGGATCAAACTCCCACACTGAAGAATGAAACTGTTGCTTCCATTACTATAGGGTCACTTGTACTTATTTCTTAGCTCCCAAAGATAAAACCCTAATGAGGGAATTTTAGGCAGTGTACAAAATCGCTGGTGGCAAGGGAACTTTCCCAGCTTTCATCAAATAAACAACCCTGCAAATAAGACCACGACCGAAAGTAATACTCCGGGTGCTGCATTCGGGGCAAAGCAGTTGGCTCTTATGAAATGAGCCGTATGTACTAGCTCCAGTGGAGTTTCTGAGCCAGATGGAAACACTATTACCTGGCTTGTGAAGAATGCCGAGTCCCTGGGATGGGACTGGGCCAAAGTGTCTGTGTTAAGCCTGATTTCCCATAACGTGAGAACACACCAGAATCTGGTTAACTGCCAAAAATACATGGCTTCAAGCGTTTGGATGAAAAATAATGTGGCCATATGTTTGCCAGGCCATGTGTACCGTATGGGGTGATTGATAGAGAAAAAAATAAGATACCCAGAAAGACACAGCAGGCCTTTGTGTGCATGTAGTTGAGGGAAAATAAAAAACCACAGACCTTAAAATAAGGCAGTCTACTAAGATCATTTATAGGATTATCTGCATTCAGGGAAACCTCACCAGCCACGCGCTGGGCAACTTTCACCCTCAGTCTCTTTACTCAGAATTACAGGAGGACTGTTTTTTGTTTTTTGTTTTTAGGACTTTATTTACTTATTTGAAAGAGAGAGCGAGAGAACAAAGCACAAGCAGGGGGAGCGGCAGAGGCAGAGGGAGAAGCAGGCTTCCCGCGGAGCGGGGGGAGCCCGAGGTGGGGCTCGATCCCAGGACCCTGGGATCAGGACCTGAGCCGAAGGCAGACACTTAACTGACTGAGCCACCCAGGCGCCCCCAGGAGGACTTTTTTACAAAAGTATAACCTAACACTAAGAATTGCCTTGTAGTTGGTGGAGATGGGAGAGTCTCATAACACCCCAGGTCTAAAGAAGAAACCTCGTGATACACAGGGAGGGGAGACCTCATAGTGCTAGATTAATAAAATATTATTTGACAGTGTTGTTGATAACATATTTGAAAGGGTTTTAGTGCTTTCCCATTAAAACATGAAAGGATCTAACATTCTGTTGAGACTCGATACCATCCTAAAATGGAAGCCGACTTGTTCCTTTCTTTCCCTGGTATATTTATGAACCGCACAGTTATACCTGCAGGGATAACTTGTCCTGCTTGTCCCAGGATAGTTCTGGGTCAAGTCTATTGCTCCAGAATAATTATGAATCGTGCCCCCTTTCATATATGTCGTGCTTTGGGCAGTAAGTCCTATGGCCACCTCATGCACGCCTATTTATTCGTCAGGCCATTCATATGCCTGTCCAGGAGTTAAAGAGTTATCCACCACTGAAAGCTGAGGGGCAGGGCATCGTGGGAGGTGGGGAAAATGGGTCCTTCTGCAGGGAGTGGGGACAAAGGTGTCCTGTGACAAGCCCTGAGTCTTCACAGCTCCAGGAGGTTTCATGAGGTCTCAATGGCTGTGGATACAGCAGAGCGGTGAAGGTCAAGGGCACTTTCCTAAGCTTTTCAGTTTAGCTTATAAATTTACTGTTCCATTAAAAATGGTCAATCTATCAACTTTTATCATTTACTTTTAAGCGGACTTTGACCCCTTTGATCCACTTAATTGGACACTGTACAACATTTCTAACTACATTTGAAATTCTATTTCCTTTTTAAGAACCTTTCCTAAGGGCTAAATAATTACTGCTAATCTAACCAATGAAACCCATAAAGATAGTGAACTTAGAGGTTCATTAGCTATTTCGGTGCCAAACATAAACTTAGATTCCATCTCGAAGTTCTAAATCTTAAGGTACACATTTTAAATTAGTTATGAGGCGCTCACTCTACGGGGCCCTAATTTTTTTACAAGTACACAAAATACCTAACATGTGCAGATTCTCTCAACACAAAATTCTTAATACTATGGTTTGGGTTTGTTAAAGTCTTTCTTTTCTCAATTCTATCCTTGTGCCAAGTCTAAGTTCCCACTGGGCTTTGGCTGGGAGTCCTGGCACCTAAGAGGATGTGAGGGAGGCCTGCTTCCTCGCTCCACTCAAGTGGCTCAGATTTCCAAAGTGATGTACCAGATTTTCACTTTACCACTATCTGGCTCATGTACACCAACCACATAGTTATTAGCGCAAGATTTACATGTAAGTTCCAGCCAAATGAATTCTGCCTCCTTTTACATTTTTTTGACTACATTAGATCCTTTGTATTTTAAGGTTTCTTTAAATTTTAACTTAACGAATTCTGGCCTTGTAGAGCTTTCTTTTAAAAATAGGCTTTATTTTTTTTAGAACAGTTTTTGATTTACAGAAAAATTGAAAAGATAGTACAGAGAGTTTCTGCATTCCCTCCACTCAGC